TCACACCATCGGCCCTTCTGGCCAACACCAGTAGGCGGTAGGTGAAGTGTCTTGCCCAAGGACACAACGACCGAGACTGTCCGAGCTGGGGCTCGAACCGGCAACCTTCCGATTACAAGACGAACACCCAACACTTGACCACTTGAGCCACAGTCTTGAGCCACGATCGCCCAAGTAGAAGTTCCCCGAGCCAAATACAAAACAGTCTAGACATGAGCCCTTCTCTATTATCGGTTCTTACATCCTTCATTCTTTTCCTCACTTCCTCCCCTTGCATTAATCCCTTCCCTCTGAGGAGGTGGCAGACCGAAAAGACGGGGGAGGAAACGGGGAAATGACTAAATGAGCAGGAATTTTAGATTAAATATTTGTGTGGTTACAGCTTCATCATGTCCATTGTTTCCTTGTTGCCTATTACAGCTGTGCTTTATTATCTCAGATGAGGATGTGTTAATAACAGAGCTAATTTCACAGTTTGTTTGTGTTTTTTAAATCCTACACACTTCACCTTGGAGCTGAAAGCTTGATCATCAGTCTGTTGATCATATTAAAAACTCAAGATGTATGAATACAAAGCAGCTTCTTGGTTTGTATGTTCCAGCTGTGTCAAGCGTCTTTCATACATCGAGGGTAAAAACGACTCGAGTCCTGGTCACAGGCAGGAGGACTGAGGAGCTGAGAAAAATGAGTAAAGATCAAAGAAAACTTTTTTATTTTTATGGGCTGATAAACATTTTTGTAATTATAAAAAATCCAGCACTATTGGGTGAAAGGCAAAGCACGGCAGTGAACCAATAATCTCCCAACACTGAAAACATTTAAAAAAATAAAGTCTGAGGCTGAACAATGATGTGAATCCTGCTGCTGCCAGTCTAATTTTGCTTAATAAGAAGTGAAAACAGAAATGATTCTCCCCCAAACATTTTTATTTAAAACGTGTCATCTTTTTTCCTGCTTTCATTAAACGCTGATTTATTTTTCCAGTATTCTGAAAAAGCTTTCAAAAATATCTTTAATCAGAGAAAACATTTAATATTAAAAGAGATAGAAGTAATAAAATTAGTCATTTAAGAAAAACACACTATCCGTATGCTAGATTTGTCCTTAATGCTGAATCATTGATCGCAAGGTTTACAGGTGAGACTTAAATAAGGCAGATTTCTGATGAGAAAGTGAGCGAGACGAAGCGTGGAGCGTTATCTTCACAGCTTTAAAACACAACAAAGTGGTGACAAATCATTGGACTGAAACACAGCTGAGCTGCAGGCATCCTTTTGGTGACACACGAAGGTAATAAGTAAAGTTTCCCACGGCCCAAAATGGACTAAATGAAAAATCTTATGCCCAGATCCAGTGAGTCAACCACTGGAATTGGC